ATCTTAACCTATTTAACCTATTTGAATTATTATGAAATTATTTTGTGAAATAAATACTGTATATGCTATGCATGTAGATTTGACTTTGGAATTTTAAATCGATCTTCCAAATCCTGAAATCTGCAATGCTCATGTGATCCAAATACAAACTCATTATATATTTAGCAAAAATTTTATAGGTTGTCAAATACAGTACATTCGCCAAGTAAATACGTACGTACCCATGTACCTACATACCTGATACTCACCTACCTTCGTACATAATGCTGCTACGGATTTAAATTTGCATTGGTTATTATTCTTTTTTTCGAATTTGTATGCTGAGTCAAATTAGATCAAAACCCTGCATATCTGACAATACATGTGGCAGATTAAAATGAAATTTTTCTATTTTTTTAGGAAAATTTAAAATTTTTTGGTAGACATTTTTTAGGGTTAGGATTAGTGTTAGAGTTAGGGTTTAGAGTTAGTTTTATTAATAAAAGAGTATAAGTGGGTTTTATAAGCTTTAAAGGTAAGCAAGAAAGGTTCCCAGTTTCATTTTAATCCGATTTCATTATGATCTGCCACAATACATAGTAATCATGCAAATTATAAATTCATTTAAAATAATTTTAATAATAATTTAAGTTTTATTGAAAATCGAATTCTTTAATCAACAGAATTCTGGAGTTAATTGTATTTACATATACATATCAGTATATACGCACAATAAATTCCACATTGAACTTTTCTTTGTTTAGTTAGGCGTTGTTTCATTCGTGTAATTGTTTTTTTTGTAACGTTAGTTATTTTATCCAAAAAAAGACGTTACAGAAATTTCGTATGGCATTATTGGATTTGATTGGCCAATCCAAATTATGCACGGTTTAGAATTAACGTTAAGGTCAGTATAAAATTTTTAAATATCGTATTATTAGTCGATACGAAATAATAAAAAATATCTTTGTTATATCCAGAAACATCGTTAACGCCTTATTGCATTAGTTTCCTTTCACAAAACAAAGAAAATAAAGAAAAATGCATTAGAAATTCTTGCCACCTGCCCATAAATACTTACGTAAATGACACAGTCATAAAGATTAAATGATTGTACACGATGAATTTAAAAAAGAAAAGTGCCAAATTTAATGTTGCATTGTTTTTGTGTATATATATATATTTTAAAGTTTATTACACCTTGCATAGATCTATAGATAATTAATCCTTGAATTTATTTTTTATTTATTTTCTGAAAAAAAAAATCCGAGTTACGTTACTATTAATTGATTACGTACTACCTCATTGTTAGGTATTACATTACACATATATTGAATCACTGTTATAATTTAAATGTCACTGAGATATAATACTCTTCATGTTTGTCACTATCATTACAGAAAGTATAGAAAGTTCTTTACTGAAGCTAAATATTTATACCAGATACAGAAAGTTTTATTGGAATTATAGAACTTCTACCATCAAAATACTGTAGATCTTAGCCTCCTTTTTTTTTGGAAAAGTTAATATAGTAATTTCTCAAAAATAAGTAAAATCAAATTACTACATTATTAAAAAGTTTTGACCGCCTTAATTCATCTGGACTAACATGAAATTATTGCTTCTGTAAAGATTTTTACCAGTTAAACCCATGATTATTTTAGCTCTAATAACCGAAAACTTTTTAGAAGGTATGAAATAAGAGAAGACTAAGATAATCCAATAAAAATTTTTATACTGTATAAATAATATATATTTGTTTTTTTTTTTTTTCTTTAACCTATGTATGTACAGTAAACGATATAGAATTAAATTAAAATGTGATAAATAATCTTACGAACTTCCTATATTATGTATCGGTAACAAAGCAATCATTAAATAAAGAAAACTTTTCGATTACTATTATAGACAACTAGTGTGCGATTTATTTACAATTTTATTCCTTGTTTAAGATTTTCACATACAGTACAACTACCACTATTATATACTGTAGATTACAGTATCTAAGTATCTAATAAATCCAAGAAAACTTTTTAATCGATCAAAAGGGATTATAAAATGTATAAAAGTGAGCAACTTTTAATAAAGATTAATAATTTGATCTCATATATAGTAATTACACAATTAGAGGTGCAGTCATTTAGGATTTTGGAGGTAGCTACCCCAGCAAAAATATCACGGCGATACGGCATATTTGCCGTATAAGTAGAAGTGCCGCATGCCGTATGCCGTATAAAGTGTTGTATGCCATATGAATACCGTATGTTGTCATTCACCTTAATTTAATGGCCGAATATAAAGATAGTCTTTTAATCAGTGGATTAAAAAAAGTGATTCATGTTTACAAAAACTTATTTACTACTAACTAATACCCTTTAAATTACCATTCGGTCAGTGAGTATTACAATAAATTTTTAATAATATAAAATATATATATATAATATTTGACGATGATTAAAATGAAAACCTACTGAAAATACGGCAAAAGTAATAAAGACACATTTAAAGCATTGTGTTTGTCATGTGATCCCAGCAAGCAAAAATGAGAATATTAATGATTGCATCGGAGAATTTCAGCTAAAAACCATGGGAATGCAACTGAACGGTTTCCATTCAATAAATCACCGCATAAGCGCGAAATAACGTTATTTTGAAAATCGGATCCTTCAAAATAACTTATATTTAGCGCTCATGAGCGTCCCGAATTAACGCGCCTCCCAAAATTTATATAAGTGTTCCGACCCGTCACAAAACCCCAACCCGGTCACCCGGATGCAGTGTTTAAAATTACCTTATGTGTAAGAGAAGTTTTAAATGTATATGCAATTAAATTTAAATAAGGAGCTTGTGCAAAAAAATGACGTGCAAGAGAAATTATAAAATATGAGATAGGATAAGATACGTAGTCCGAAAAGTTAAAGTTCCGAAAGGAAAATGAATGAACATAAAATTCAAGCAAGATTGAGCTTAAAATATCCGAAATATTCCGAAAAAAATAATTAAAAAATATGATACAAGGCCATATAAAGTTAATTTTTTGGTTCTCATAACATAAAACAAAAAAAATAACCCGCCCACCCGGACTTTTATTTAAAAATTTAAAAATTTTTATTTTTATAAAGCTATGAACCGGAAATATATAATAGAATTTTGGTCAAATCTATAACGATAACAGTAAGAATTCCTGTTTTACTTTGGTTTTGCATATAAAAAATGAAATCTGTTCCAATTAGGTATGAGACTGGACCGGCTGTTAGACTAACTAAATATATTTTTACGGCATTTACTGGGTTTTATCATGATGATCAATCCATAGATCGTACGGAATGATTTTTAAAAAAAGTATTTTAAAAATTACGGAAAATCTGGATAGTTGGATGACCAAATCATATGGTAAGAGAGTGTAAAATAAGCGCGAAATAACGCCCACCTGAGCACTAATTAATTGACCCGCGCGTTATTTCGAATATGCCATGTGCATTATTTCGAAATAAGAGAAGATTTTCTAAATTCAATATGGTCGATCTTCAATAAATGCGTATTGTTGAGTAAAGATGCGTTTATAAAATATTCATTATGGAGAATAATCTACATATAACATTAAATAATTACATAAATTATGTGCACTTATCATTATAGCACTTATAGAATGGAGTATCGACTGTATATCGCAACAGTAAATCATGTGCTACATTAAGATGCGCATTAATTCGAGACGCTAATTCAAGACCATATAAGTTGTTTTTGTAGGACCCGGTTTTCAAAATCGACACCCATAAGTGTTATTTCGTGCTTATTCGATATTTTAAAAACATACCATACTGATCTCGTTATCAATATTGTGAAATTTGTGTATCAAAAGAAGAAATTACTACTATATACAATTTATATGATCTGCCGTCATGACATTCAAAATGAAGAATAACACCCACATTTTCCACCGCGGGAAATAAGTCGGTAGATCCACGGCTATATGAGGGCCTTTCGGGCCCTCATATAACCGGGAATTTTACCTCTTATTCCCGCCGTTGCGAAAAATAAATAGTGCTTATTCGCTTTTAATTTGATTTCTTATTTCAGGCGATGATTATAATAGTGGATGTATTTAAAATAGGCCATTTTTTTATATTTATATTAAATTAGTCTGTAAGTATAGCCTAAAATATGACAAGCTGCTCCTTAAGTCATTTCTCATTAAGTCACTTATTAAGGTTAATTTAACCAGAAAGTATAAAATAATTTGGTAATCAAAGTATTCGAAAACAATGTATGCGCTTCTTATTAGTTTATTAGTTTATCGTCCGTGCTGATTTGGTTGATGAACAATCTTTTATTCAAGTCGATTCAGTCATTATTATTTATTAATCGAAATATTTGAAATAATCTATGTATTTATTATTAATTTCTTATTCGTGCTGATTTATGATTTTTATAACTTGATTTCCTGAAAATTTATATATGAATAAAAATTCAAAATTTCATATTTATATTATATTCAAAAAATTTATCATTTACATGTAAAGGTTAAATAGATTTCCGCTAACCAGTTGATAATTCAAATTTCCAATGAAACTTAATTACTTTTTTTTTATTTGGTTCCCTTATTCCTATTTCAAAATCCTATTTCTATCAAGCCGAGATTATATTATAAATATCTTACATATTCAATTTAATAAGCTTGAAATTTTGCCATTCTTTTGGTTGCCTTATTACTATTATCTGCTATCTTATTTTAAAATTCTATAGATGTTTATTCCCTCAATATATTAGAGACAATAAAATCAATTAATAAAATGGTCAAGTAATACACATTATATTTCTATAACTTATATCTTTAATTCGAAATTTCGCATAGAATAACACCATATAAAAAATGCTATAAATATTTGTAGCATAGATATTTAACTATGTACTCTTAATGATAATACATTTAGCGTGTGATAATTCACAAGAAAAACAAAAAAAAAAGGCCATTCATCATAAAAATGTAAACTTAGAAATTATATTTATGCGTAATCATATTATGGAAAAGAAACCCCCGAAAACAGAGTTAAAAATTGGGTGCTCTGTGGTGATGGATTTTCTATACCTTGTATTGTGGTGAATGGATCCGCGCCGTTAATTAGGTCAGTGTAGCGTTGAATGGCAATAAGAGTGCCAGTGAATAGACTTGCAGCGTTCTGATGTCTCAGAGGATGCATACTAATATTTAGGTTCCTTCGAAGTTGACCATTAATATTTTGTGGGCCACCAATATTTTGAAGTCTTTGTAGCTGACCACTATAATTTTGTGGGTGTGCAACAATATTCTGATTTGCGGATTGGTTCATAACTATATAGTTTTTGAATTTTTTTTTGGAAAAGGTAGAGTTTTTATACATTTTTGGCTTTATATACAGTATATATATATATATATTGACGTTTAATTTAGGAACATAATATAAAAGTAACATGTAAATAAAGAGCTGTTAATAATATGGCATTTATGATCAGGTTAAAATTCGGTCACAATGTCCGAGCATTTAGTATTTAGTCCAAAATTTATATTTAAATGGTAAATTATATATAAAAAATTTTTTTGCCATCGAAGACACGTCTAGTATAATCTATCTGTCCTAATTATCTATAATGCTGCACAGACAATATCATTTTGCTCCCAAAAGGTTTCAACATATGATTATTGGGAAGTATTTAAAAATCTTGGGGAAAATTATCTCCATATGACAGGTTATAGTATTGTTGTGTGACACTCCGATAATAGGAGAACTATTAATACATAATAAAAAAAGGATTTCTATATAATAAGCGGTTTGTAAAGATAAAATTTTATATTAAATCATTAGCATATTAAAACGCAAATAAAACACTTCGACTATGATTTATATAAATGATAAAAATGAACATTAAATATACATGTACTCAAATCATACGGCGTACAATTTCATATTCAACTATAAAAGGCATCAATACATAAATAAAGTATTACGTTATATTTAAAGAATCAACAGCTGATGCTGAACAAAAAAATTCGTGTTTTTTAAATTAATTTTTATGATATTTGCGATAATGTAAACTAAACTGTAAACCTTGTGATTTGTTGTAACTCACAACATAAGATTAAATCCTTCAAAGATTATGCCAAACGTTTAGCATTATCAGGCTTTGATATATCTTATTCGTACAACATGCATAAAAGCGCCACACAATTAACTTAAGAAATCAGGCGTTCGTGCATAATATAAGTCACGAAATTTCGTAGTTTAAAACATTATAGTTATAAAGCAAGTGCATAAAAATGCCAAATATCACACGAAAAAATTATAAAATACGCTTAATTAACTTAAGATATCGGGCGTTCGTGCATAATATAAGTCACGAAATTTCGCAGTTTAAAACATTACAGTTATAAAGCAAGTGCATAAAAATGCTAAATATCACAAGAAAAATTACAAAAATACTCTGAATCAACTTTCAATAAAATCATTTCAAGTAGGTTTAATGTATTTCAAATTTTTATGGTATAAGTTTAAGGAAAAATTAAAGGTCTAATGTTTATCCAGATTATCTTATTCCAAATGAAGCCCTTTAAAAGGATTCGCCTGTCTGAACATAGAGCTTCTCTGTCACGCCGATTATATAAATCTTGAATTTAAAGAAACGCTCTATTTAAGTAGGAAGTACGACTAACCATACGCGTTAAAAATCGGCTGAGGAACTGAGTACATATAAATGCACTAAGAAGAAAAGTACCATGGTACACAAACATCAAGAACACCAAAACTCCGAATCTCCAACTATTAAGAATTTTTACTGATTTTTAAATTAAAAACTTGTGCAAAAAATAAAATAAAAAAATAAAAATCATACGAATCGTATTATAAATTTTCACATTCTATTTTAAACTCTTCACATAAAACTTCCTTAATATGGCATGTATTTAAAATAATTTTAAAGGTTCTCACCATTGGCACAAACTTAATTCTATCGAAGTACTTAATGCTATCGAAGTTATCGTTGTTTAATGACAGGCTATATGGTAAGAAACATGAAAAATGCACATTATGACCTGTTGACCTTTTTTGGCTATTCATAAAATTTATATGGAAGGCAAAAAACTTTCGGTCTCTGTTAAGATTACGTAATATACTTAAACATGTCAAATTTCCAATTAAACTGATACTTCAGTCAGTGATTTTACGCTATATGGAAATAATCTGCAAATATATTAGGTTATTCTAAAACCGATTTCAATTTAAAAAAACAAAAGCGCTTTTTATTATCTGAAAATGACAATCAGTTTTAAAAAAACCTTTATAATTTAGCAGTTAGGGATCCCTAAGGCCGTTTTGCATTAAATAACAAAAGTGTAGTAACGCAGTACGCAATTGCAGATCTTTACCAAAAAACGAAATGATCTGCGTTACACAACTTTGAAAAATCCCTGACTGTATTACATGTAAAGATTGGCATGATATTAATAATTACGGGAAAACACATGCCCTATTTCATGCTGTGAGATTAGGGCCATCATTCATTAATTTATCTGTTGCTCAAGCTCTTATTGCGAAAGGTGTATTTCTTTCGGGGTATTTTATTCAAAGATTGCTTAATTCTTTTGGAAATTACGATTTAAAATTAATAGAACAAAAGATTGCGCACAATGTTAAACAAATAAATGCAGAACAGATCAAATTTTTACAGAAAAAGACGCGTAAACCTTGGGCAAGTGATTTACCATTAGCGGTCTTTACGTATCTTCTAACAATGACACAAGGTCAATTTAAAGTTCATGAACTTTGTATGAAAGGAAATGATATGGGGTTTTTCATTTCCTTTCTGCCGGTCCACATGTAATAAAAGACGTTCCAAGCATTTTACAAAAAAATATGGATATTATAGAAGACTTAATACTGCATAAAAAATTCATTCCATTTCCTCCTAGGCCCCCTAGAAATTTAATGAACTTTGTGCGTCACCAATTATTCATGAAGAATATCCTCCTAAAGATGATTTTTAAAATAACAGGCAGCTTAATGTTATAGCTCGCGCCATCTTAATTTGCAAGAATTTCGTTTTATTATGGAAACAAATCAGCTATTACGAAATATGTGAGGATGTAAATGACTGGTAATGCAGGGTGCATTTCTCTTGTTATTTCCACCAAATCACCCGTGAATTTTGGCCAATCAAATTTCAAGATCAGGTGTAACGTGAAACCATTTTTTACAAATAAACTGAAATAACTTGAAATTTTTATTAAAAAACCACCTTCTGCGGCTTAATTAAAAATGTTCCTTGTAAAATTTTACTAATAACAATAACCCTAATTCTAACTCTAACCTTACTCTGTTCTCGCTTTAATCCTAATTATAACGCGGTTTTATAAATCATGGGAGTGAAAATTTTTGTGGGTGCGCTACCTAAAATTTCCACCCACACCTTCGCCTGAATGGACTTTACCTGAAAGAGTCATTACTGAGCGACTTTTAGAACTAATTGGAATTGGATTTCAACTAAGTTATAGTTTTATTGGCAAGATCTTTTACCTATTTGAAGATAGACGGGAATATATTGGTGAAACGTTAGTAGAATAATTTATATGCATTAGGAAAGACACTCGACAAAATTTCTTGGATAACTGTCTAATCGAATCACTAAGAATTGAACATTGTTCAAACAAGCCTCAAGTTTGGAATTTTCTCTATACAATTGCGCAAAATCCCGAATTTGCATTTATTGAAGCGTTTAATCATTACTTAAATAAAAATATTGATTCTGAAATTAAAAAACTCACGTTACCATCAAAATTCTATATGTAGGCTCTTAAAAAATTTGGATCAGATACACAAATTGCAAACCAGTGTTTTGAAGATATATTAAAAGCACGTGTTAGCTTAGATCAACAATTGCAGCAAAATGTCAATGCGGACATATCTGCTGGAATAAACCAACACGTGTTTCAAGTAATTTGTAATCTTTTTAAGGTTTATTGCAACACTAAAAATTTCTATCAACCGTCACATTTAAGTATTATAAGTTAATGCACTAGCTCAGACATTATAGTTCCGTTATTTAAAAATTATTTACTAGATCTATTTGATATGGAAATTTCTTTTGAATTACCTATTTAAATTATTGAATATATGGATATAATTGACAATTATAATGAATATATTCTTCCAAAATCAAAAAATAAAAGAAAAAAAAAGAAACACGTTTTAAAAGAGTTGAATCAATCACTTGTGTAAATAATACTGGAAGATTAATAAAAACATTTCATAAATTATTTTCATGAATTTATTTATAAAAGCTACCAAATTCTGAATATGCGAACAAAAAGTAGATTGTGATACTAAGTCACTTATCAACCGGTTCAGCTCACTTCACCGACGCTCATTTCGTAGAAATAACATTTCACCGACAACAATTCACCGACATGTTATTTCACCGACACTTATTTTCCATTTCACCGACAGTTTATTTCACCGAAACTTATTTCACCGACAAATTAATTCTGGTCATTGTCGTTAAGGTCAGGTTAGAATTAGAATTAAGGTTAGTGGAATTTAGAAAAAAAAATTTGTCTATGAAATGAGCGTCGGTGAAATGATACGTATCCCTTATCAACATGGTTTGAATCATTTATAATTAAATTTGTTACCGTAGTGCACAACTTAAAATATACCAGTTTTTACATGGCAAAATTTTTATTAGGATAATATCCAACAGATATTATATTGTGCACCTATGGTGTTGTTAGTGTTAATATATTTTTAGGGTTAGGGTGCAATTTAGGGATTTTTATTTTTTATATAATATAATGTATATTAGATATAAGGTCCCAATTTCAGTTTTTGTGACATTTTCGGGATCCTGGGCATTTTTACTTAGAGTACCTGATCCCATTTACTTAGTACGTTTTTGAGAAATAAGGACCTATCGGCATTTAAACTTTGATCTGACACAAATTTTAATTTAACGTACGGCATATTAAATCTGGGTCTTTTAGATGGTGCACTATGATATACCAGGAACGGAGTACAAAGTACGTAGTGTATGGTTTACAAGCGAGTGAAATGATGTGTGCGATTCTCGGCATCTGATTGGATAAAAATCCCTTGTGACTTTTGTAGCACCCCGAACAGTACTAAAAAA